CTTGTAGGGTTTCTGCTGAGAGATCTGCTGTGAGCCTGATGGGCTTCCCTTTGTAGGTAACCCGACCTTTCTCTCTAGCTGCCCTTAGCATTTTCTCCTTCATTTCAACTCGGGTGAATCTGGCGATTATGTGCCTTGAGGTTGCTCTTCTTGAGGAATATCTTTGTGGTGTTTTCTGTATTTCCTGGACTTGAATATTGGCCTGCCTTGCTAGGTTGGGGAAGTTTTCCTCGATAATATCCTGAAGAGTATTTTCCAGCTTGGATTCATTCTCTTTGTTACATTCAGGTACACCTATCAAATGTAGATTAGGTCTTTTCACATAGTCCTGTATTTCTTGGAGACTTTGTTCATTCCTTTTTATGCTTTTTTCTCTAATCTTGCCTTCTCATTTTATTTCATTGAGTTGATCTTTGACCTCTGATATCCTTTCTTCTACTTGGTCAATTCGGCTGTTGAAACTTGTGCATGCTTCGTGAAGTTCTCGTGTTGTTTTTTCCAGCTCCATCAATTCACTCATATTCCTCTCTAAGTTGTTCATTCTCGTTAGCATTTCGTCAAATCTTTTTTCAAGGTTCTTAGTTTCTTTGCATTGGGTTAGAACATGTTCTTTTAGCTCACAGAAATTTCTCATTACCCACCTTCTGAAGTCTAATTCTGTCATTTCATCACACTCATTCTCCATCCAGCCTTGTTCCCTTGCTGGTGAGGAGTTGTGATCCCTTGGAGGAGGAGAGGTGTTCTGGTATTGGGTGTTTTCCTCCTTTTTGCGCTGGTTTCTTTCTATCTTTGTGGATTTATCCACCTGTCGTCTTTGTAGTTGCTGATTTTCAGATTGGGTCTCTGAGTGGACGTCCAGTTTGTTGATCATGAAGTTATTTCTGTTTATTAGTTTTCCTTCTAACAGTCTGGCCCCTCTGCTGTAGGACTGCTGAGGTCCACTCCAGGCCTTGATTGCCTGGGGATCACCTGCAGCAGCTGCAGAACAGTAAGGGTTGCTACCAGTTTCTTCTTCTGCTATCTTTGTCCCAGAATGATGCCCGTCAAGTATCAGTCTGATCAGTCCTTTGTGAGGTGACTCCGGATATACGGGGGCCAGGGAGCTGCTTGAAAAGACAGTCTGTCTTTTGTAGGAGCTCAAGTGCTGAGCTGTGAGCTCCATTGTTCATTCAGAGCTGCTGAACAGGTACATTTAAGTCTGCTGCCGAAGAACTCATAAACCCCCTTTTTTTTCCCTAGGTGCTCTGTCCTGGGGAGTTAGGGCTTTATTTATGAGTTTCCGTTGTGCTGCTGCCTTTTTTTTTCAGGCCTGCCCTGCCCAGCAAGGGGACAGCCTAATCACTCACTGTCTGCCTGCAGAGGCTTTGCTGAGCTGCTATAGGCTCCGCCCTGCTGCTGTGTGAACTTCCCTGCAGTCCTGTTTATATGGGTGTGGTTAGAACTGCCTCGGCAATGGTGGCCCACCTCTGTAATGGTGGACTCTCTCTAATGGCGGGTTGCCTCGGCAACGGTGGGCTGCCTCAGCAGTGGCGGACTACCTCCGTAGGGGTGGAATGCCTCGGTAATGGCGGACACCCCTCCTCCACCGAGCTGGACCATCCTGGGTTCAGCTGTGCTTGCCGTGAAACTCTCAACCCAGCGTTTCCAATTGCTGTTTTTTTGGGTGTGTGGTGGCGGGGTGGGACCCGCTGAGCCTGATCACTTGGCTCCCTGCCTCAGAGCCTTTTTTTTAAAAGTTGAACAGTTGACTCTTTCCTAGGTGTTCCAGTTGCCTGCTGAAAAGGTGCCGGGATCTGTGTGATTTCACCTGTGGTGACCCACTGCTCCAGCTGAAACAATGGCTCTGAGAGTCGTGGCCCTTTTTTGCCCGGGAATCTCCTGGCCTGGCTCCCTGTTTCAGTCCTCTGTTTAATCAGATGAATGGGCGACTCTGCCTTCCCGGAGCTCCAATCGCCAGCTTAAAAGGGCAACCAGATCAGTGTATTTTATACAGAGAACCGCTGCACCAGCGTGCCAGCAAAACAGCTGTGCTGGCAACCCGTGGATCTCCTCTGCCTGGGAATCTCCTGGTCTGTGGGCAATAAAGATCTGTCTGGAAATGCAGCGTCCACTCACCCTCTGCGCTTTCACTGGGAGCTGCAATCCTGAGTTGCTCCTAAACGGCCATCTTGGGTCTTCCTCCTCCTCTTGTTTTATTTCATTGAGTTGATCTTCAATCTCTGATATCCTTTTTTCTGCTTGATTGATTCTGCTGTTAAAATTTGTGTATGCCTTGCGAAGTTCTCCTGCTGTGTTTTTCAGCTCCATCAAGTCATTTATGTTCTTCTCTAAGCGGGTTATTTTGTTAGCATTTCTTCTAACCTTTTTTCAAGGTTCTTAGTTTCTTTGCATTGGGTTAGAACATGGTCTTTTAACTCAGAGAAGTTTGTTATTACCCACCTTCTGAAGCCTGCTTCTTCTGTCAGTTCATCAGAATCATTTTCTGTCATTTTGTTCCCTTGATGGTGAGGAGTTGTGAACCATGGAAAGGGAAGAGGCGTTTTGGTCTATGATGGTTTCATCCTTTTTGCGCTAGTTTCTTCCCATCTTTGTGGATTTATCTTCCTTTGATCTTTGGTGATTCAGGAGGACTCTCTGAGTGGACATCTTTTCTGTTGCAGTTAGAGCTATATCTGTTTTGGCCTGTAGAGGTGCTGCTGAGCTGCCTCCGATTCAGTCAGGTTGCTGGGTGGGTAGTCTTCCCCTGGAGTTCGTTGCAGGTGAGATTAGCCCCGCCTTCCCAATGGCCTCTCTCCTTCCCCGAGCTCGATCTTCCCAGTTGGGATCAAACTGATGTATTTGCTGCCAAGCTCTCTAGCGGGTGGGGATCAGTTTGAGTTTTGTGGGGGTGGAGCCTGCCAGGCCTTATGGCCTGTTTCCCTTCTTTCAACTCTGCCTCTTTCTGTGGGACGGGTTGTTCCATCGTGCTGGCATTAGTCCAAACTTCTGCCCAGGTCCTTGCCGACAATTTGCAGCCCCTGGCAGGAGCTGTTGCTCAGATTTGCATCAATAACCCAGTGCCCTTCAGTCTGGCAGGGCTCTCATGGACCGTGGGTTGCTGGAGGGATGAGGTAAGCACAGGATCCGAATCAGAGCACCTAGTGGGTGAAGTTCCTGATCCTCCAAGCCGGCTGCATGTTCCAGGTGGGGATGTGCCCCACCCTGTCTCAGTTCACCCTCCCTGGGTGGCTCTTGCCCTGCTTTGGCTCCTTCCCTGGGCTATTTTTAGAGTCTTACCAGTCCCACCAAATGAACCCGGCACCTTGCTTGAAATGGTGAAGTCCTCTAGCCCTCTGCGTCTCATTCATTAGGAGCTGCATTCCACTGTTGCCTCCTCTCAGCCATCTTCGTGTGCCTCCCCACAAACTTTGTTTTAAGCAGTTGAGTACATTGAAGATGAGACTGTTAATTTATTTGTGTTTACTTGCTTTTTGAAAATGTAAAAATAAAACTCTAGGTTTAATTAGTAGTATTCTCTTTAGTAATGAAGTAAAGGTAGAGCCTTCGAACAAATCTTACATAATTTCCTCTTGAATGAGAGAGAAAATTTAAAGTAAGCAAACAAAAAAGTTGTGTGTCACCACTCATTCATTCATTTAACAAGTATTCCAGAGTGCTTATTCTGTGCTAGGAAATGTAGTAGGTGCCCTCAACAATTTAGAGTCTAGCTTGAGACACAAACAAGCAGGCAGTTATAGAATGGTATGGTCTTTGGAGGACTGCATATTGGGGTGGCTCATGGGAGTACAAGGTAGGTACCCAGTGATGAAGTCAGGAAAGGTTTCTTATAGTGATATGACATCTGTGCTGAATAAAATGTATTACAAGGTCAGCATAGGCTAATCTTTAAACTTTGTGCTTCTAAATTTGCATAGCACTGTATTATAGAGTTCATGTTAAGAATTAATGAAGAGGCCTCGTATGGTGGCTCATGCCTGTAATCTCAGCACTTTGGGAGGCTGAGGTGAGCAGATAGCTTGAGCTAGGAGTTCGAGACCAGCCTGGCCAACATGGCGAAACCTCATCTCTACTTAAAATACAAAAATTAGCCAGGAGTGATTGTGCATACCTGTAATCCCAGCTGTATTCGGGAGGCTGAGACAGGAGAATCACTTGAACCCAGAAGGTGGAGGTTGTAGTAAGCCGAGATTGTGCCACTATATTCCAGCCTGGGTGACAGAGCAAGACTCCATCTCAAAAATTAAAAAACAAAAAACAGAAACCCTAAAGTAATCCAAGAAAGGTGAATTTTCATGTATCCTATTTCTGTTGAGGAGAATTGACTATTTTCAAATATTTTTAGTAAAGGTCAAAATGAGGGATCCATTTCCGTTAGCAGACCATCCATCTCTGTTTTGATTAGGCTTAGTTAAGATTTTGTTATATTGGAAAACAAATCAAACATAGCCAATTAACATGTAAGTTATGTTATTTTCATATGTAATAATTCTCAAAGACAGCAATTTATTTGACTTAATTATATGGCACTATTTAAAGCTGTTTGGATTGTAGTATGTATTATAAACTTGGGTGATGGAACAACCATTATTTATTGAGGTAAGTTGCTTGTCAGACACTGTTTACATCTCACAATAATCCTGTATTAGCCTCGTTGTAGATGAGAAAACTGGGCCACAGAAAAGGTTTAATAACTTTCCCCAGATCATATAGTAGTTGTAGTAGGACCAGGATTTAAATCCAGGCAGATTAATCTATAGCCCTCCCTGCATACTACTAGCATTACCCACTGTTTTATCAATTTACAAATGTAATACATTATCAGAAAACTCACACATATTACACAAGTATCTAACATGGAAAGTGAAATTATATTTTCATCTACTAGAAGGAGTCACAGCAAAGGTTTTGATTCATTTTGTGGGTGGGAGAAAACATTAACATTTAACACATTTAAAAATAATGATAGGATTATGTTAACATTAGAGTCAAACAGACAAGTCTCTGGAAACCAAATGTTTTATTTGGGAAGAAGTAATTGCAATTTGGAGCATTGATGCAGACCAATTGTTCGGTATGTCCAGAGAACAAACAGAGGGTTAGAGGTCTTATAAAAAGAAGAAATATTACACATGGCTCTTCAAGAAATTCCATTGGTACTAGACTTGGTGAGCTGTCAAGCTCTGATTGTTGAGTGATGGCAATGGGTAACACTGGTCTTAAGAGTTGCACCAGGTCCTTTCAGTAGCCCTGAGATAACCAGCAGCCAGTTTCAGCAGCCAGGCTTACAGAGAATTATATCTTGGGAGAAATGTTTTGTACCCTGAGTGCTTTTCCCCCAGGCCTGTTGACTCTGTTTTAGTTGAGTATGACAAGAATGACCCAATTTGTGTTATTAATTTTTACATTTTACAAATTGTTTACAACTTGATTTTTTAACTTAACAGTTTATTCTTAAGGCTTTCTGTGTCCGTGAAGGTATGTGTGTCTGATTCTTTTTAATAGCTATATGGTATTACAGTTTATTATATTATAAATTTACAGTTGACCCTTGAACAGTACAGGTCTGAACTACACAGGTCAGCTTACGCAGATGTTTTTCCATTTATCATTTACTACCATAAAATAACACAAATCTATTATCAAAAGTTAAAATTTATCAAAACTTAACACACAGAGACTATACATGGTACCATGCAGTTGAGAGAAATGTAAACAAATGTAAAGATGCAGTGTTAAATCATAACTGCATAAAATTAACTATGGTACATGCTGTAGTATTATTAGGTTGGTGCAAAAGTAATTGCAGTTTTTGCATTATTTTCAAAATATACAGTATAATACAATAATTTCATAGCCGTTTCCTGTTGCTATTACTGTGAACTCAGGTGTTGCAAGGCCTTGTGATACTAACCATCCCTGCTTGAGCAATTTGTCCCTCCAGAAAGTAAATTGTATTTCTCAGTAAAAAGTGATCTCTTGAGGTGCCTCCATATTTTTTCATCATCTTTAATGCAGTACTGTAAACCCATAAAAAGTGCCACTAGTGATGCTGGAAGTGCTTCCAAGAATTCCTTGATACATATTGTAAATTGAGATCTGCAACTGCAATTACCTGTCATTTCAGACAGATGATTCATCTTGGAAATAGACAGTGTTAATACATATGACATACAAAATATGCTAATCAGCTGTTTTTATTGGTAAGGCTTCAGTCAGCAGTAGGCTATTAGTAGTTAAGTTTTTGGAGACTCAAATGTTATACTTGGATTTTAGACCACATGGGGGTTGGCACCCCAGCCCCCATGTTGTTCAGAGGTCAAGTATTTTGCTGTTCGCCACATAATGCACACTTGCTTCATTTCAGTTTTCGCTATATAAAAGTTTTTTTCTTTTTTTTTTGGAAAGTGAAAGCAAGTTTATTAAGAAAGTAAAGGAATAAAGAATGGCTACTCCATTGGCCAAGCAACCCCAAAGGCTCCTATTGGCCAATTTTTTGGCCATTTCTTGATTATATGCTAAACAAGGGGTAGATTATTTCCATTTTGGGAAAGGGTTGGGCAATTCCCAGAACTAAGGGTTCCTCCCCTTTGTAGACCATAAAGGGTAACTTCCTGATGTTGCCGGTATTTGTAAACTGTCATGGAGCTGGTGGGAGTGTCTTTTATCATGCTAATGAATTATCATTAGTGTGGATAATGAGCAGTGAGGACAACCAGAAGTGACTTTTGCAACCATCTTGGTTTTGGTGCGTTTTGGCCAGCTTCTCTACTGCATGCTGTTTTATCAGCAAGGTCTTTGTGACCTGTGTCTTGTGCTGACCTCCCATCTCATCCTGTGACTTAGAATGCCTAACCTCCTGGGAATGCAGCCCAGTAGGTCTAGGCCTCATTCTACCCAGCCCCTTTTCAAGATGGAGTCTTCTGGTTAAAACACCTCTGACATATTTTCCCTCTCCTTTTTATAAGGGAATCCTTAATCCTAAGGGTTGTAGAGGGACAAAGAGACATCTTTTGTAACTTTTTCAGGCTGAATAGGGGTGATGATATTCCTGTCTATTAGGATCTTTTATTTGGGGTAGAGAAATTAGTCAGAAAGTGTCAGTATGATGAGGGCCATTCATAACTCTCAGTTCTAAAAAAAAGATATCTGGAAGATTAATAAGGTCAGTTTAATACACTCAGTAAGCTTATCTTGTATTCCTACAGCGAGTACAACAGCAGTATATTCCATACCAGTAAAACAAAATAACTAAAATTATCCCAAGTGAACTAAATAAGAAGGCTTTCCATGAACTGCTGGAAACCAAGCTGATTCCAATATGGGCCCAGAATTAGAATACTGATCCAGATTTTCACATTACCTATCCCTCTTGTTTCTTCTGAGCAGCAGCCAGAGATCACTGGTTGGTTGACAGGAATAAGCAGGGTTAGTTTAAATTGCAGAAAAAACTCAAAAACAACTGATGAGAAAAACACTCAAAAACACCTAATAACAGGTATACCATAGTTTCTGAAGTATATTTTATTTCTCTCCAGTCTCCCATTTTTACTGAAGACTGATGTAAGACTGATTTGCTTTTTTATTCTTGGCATGATTATCTGTTTAAAGTGCAGCAAGAATAATTATTTTCTACTTCGGATTTTTAAAATTGGCTTTGATGGAACTCTGTTTCGTAAGGAAACGCTGATAAAGACTTTTTAAAATATGAGTTGGATACATTACTGTCCTCTTGAGGTCACAAGATAACTTGGAGCTTCTGGACCTGTCAGAAAGTGACATTATTTACTTACCACAGGCCAGGAACCCTGTACAGGACCTGCATAAACAAGGTATGAAGCAAGTGTTCCCAAGGGGCTTTTGGTGGCTTTATAAGTCAAGTTTGATTCCTTAAAGGAAAGCACACTATTCCAGCCAAAGCCTTCGTAAAATAACCAGTTTCTCCAGTTGTGTCCATTTGCATGGCACTTATTCAAATAACTATATTGCCATAAGTTAAAAATATTCACAAACAGGTTCCAAATTCTGGAGAAATCAGAAATACGCTTCAAATTTGATTCATGGGGATATACTTTACACAAATGTTAAAAGCTGCAAACAGCTCAAAAGAAGTTTTCTTGTCTCTGAAAAGTAAAAGGATCAGCAACATTTCAAGCAAAAAGTCAAAAAGATTACTTCAGTCTTCTATTGGTTCAGTCCATGTAGTTAATACCTATCGTATTTGACATCCACTAACATTCCAGCTCTTCATGAGAGCCCTGAAAATTTCTTTCCTCTATTTTAATGTCACAGTAACCAAAGTTTCAGAAACCTGCCTTCAAGAGCACCTGTCAAAGTCTTATAACTGTTAAAAAAAAATCACCTTTTAAAGAGGATTAAAACAAGACTATTTGTCTGAGGATGACAAAATGCCTTAGGGTAGCCTGTGTTAAAGCCATAATTGACTGGGGATTTTGGTTACTTCTGTGGCATATAACAATTTTATATAACAATCATAATGTACTCTAAGTCATATTAGAATTATAGTTGTTTCCCATAATTTTGGAACACATTACAATAACATATTTATACAAATATAGCCCAAAGAAAGCCAAACATCATTTTATATTTGACAATGCTTCCTGTATGATTTTTATATTGAAAAACCCAAGTTTCACCATTGCACTAGTGTCCTATTAATGTTAATCCCAATGCTTAATGAAACTGTATAGACAATTCTAAATCTATCTAATCTTAATCAGTATAACCATAAAGTAAGATTCTCATAAACCATTTACAACTCTTTATAATTTTTGTGAAAGAGTAGATTATTGCTCTCAGGAAACCCTGTTGTGAATTTTTTCTAGTGTTCAATTTATGGAAAAACTGAATAATGCCCCTTTAACTTTAGCCAATATGTTCGCACACAGAATTTTTTTTTACAAGATTAATTTTCCCCAGTTATTGTACAACTTGCTCAAATGCATTATCCTATTTAACTGAAAACAATCCATTAACCTTTCAATTTAGGTCAAAAATCCATATACTCATTCTTTCTTATAATCTTTTACCAAAAACACATTTCACTTTCCTTATACACCTTTGATATAAAATTTTCTTCAGAAGTCTTCAGTTACTTGGTACAATATTAACTCTTAACAACTTTTACTTTTGGGTGAAAACCTTGGTAAGTAAGGAATTTTAATTACATCCTAGGTGTAGAGTCTAGGACACCAAACAGAAGTGCAGACAGGTCTGACTCTTTATCGCATAGCTAGGGGGAATGGCTAACACCACATGTCCCTAGGCCTTACCTAGAATCTGCTCCAAAGTAAGTTAAACAGTTTTTAAAAATCAGAGAAGCAGTTTCTGACCTTAAAGCATTTAGCAATCATTTTGAAGATATTTTTATTTTACCAGTAATCTTTAAAACTGTATTTCCCAGTGATTACTTAAGTCCTGTGAACTAAAAGGCTTTTTACTTTTCTGACAAAATATTTAAGTGTTCATTATTTTTAAGCCAGCTATCAAAGCTTTTTTATATTACACAACATGTATAAATACACAGAAGAAGAGATCCAGTAGTTGTAAGATTTTTCATTTGCCGTTTTTTGTTTTGTTTTAAGACAGAGTCTTGCACTGTTGCCCATACTGGAGTACAATGGCATGATCTTAGCTCACTGCACCCTCCACTTCCTGGGTTCAAGTGATTCTCCTGCCTCAGCCTCCCAAGTAGCTGGGATCACAGGCATGAGCCACCACGCCTGGCTAATTTTTGTATTTTTAGTAGAGATAGGGTTTTGCCATGTTGGCCAGGCTGGTCTTGAACTCCTGACCTCAAGTGATCTGCCTGCCTCAGGCTCCCAAAGTACCAGGATTACAGACATGAGTCACTGTGCCTGGCTCATTTGCCAGTTTCTATACTGGCTTTAGGGTAGAGCCCTTGGAGGGACAGGGCCAGGAAAGCATGCAGTTTCTATAGCCCAATAAGCAGGCACAGCTGGAAGGCAAAATAATCCCCAAAAATAAAGTGTCCCGTTTGTATACTGGATCCTGGATTCCCAAAAGAGAAGCACTATAGAACAAGGCAGTGCAATGATTTTACCATGTATTTCATTGCAAAGCAACCCAAAGCCAATCAGCCCATTCTGTGATCAACCCGTCGTCACTCATGGGGGTCTTACCTGTCAGTGGGGCCTGGGGGAAGGGTGGGGATATCCCCTTCTAGGTGGCCAAAAGCATGCTTCTGATCCAAATGTGCCAAGATCCAAATATTCCTCCCATGCTATTATCTGCAAAAGTATATTTCCTACATAGTTATTATACACCAAAATTCTGTGAAGTAATTTCTCATAACCCCCAAAGTAAAAAACATCAGATAATGCAATGCAAAACAGAACAGAGCCTTAGATTTTGAGAGGGATCTATCCACTTTTAATTCTTGGGGTTCCATGGGGAAAACATAGGTTTTCACCAAAAAGGGATCTGTGGTGCCACCTCTGTTTTCCGATGGAGTCCCAAGCTATTAGAGATTGAATATCTGCTTTGAATTAAACTGACTTAACCACAGCACTTTTCAAAAAGTCCTTTTAAATCTCCTATTACTTGACTTCAGCCATGCCAAAGCGCCAATTTGCTGGCTTTTGAACATTACCAAAGGTAGCCTTCCAGGTGCTCAGAGAAAGAAAAATTCTAGACAGTTCATGGAGAAGAGAATCAACAAATGGTAAAGGTCACACAGATATCAACCAGAAAGTACTCATTCTCTTCGCCAGAACTGAACCCAGGCCGCCATTGTAAAATGGCAAAGCCTTAGCTGCTGAGCTCCAGCACTAGGCAGTTTCCATTGCTCTTTCCAGAAGGAGCCTGAAACAGCCAATTTTGAGCTTGCAAAGGCTCTAGATAATTTTAGAGCTGAGTATAAACAGGAACCCCCAAATTCCTGTTCTCTGGATGGTAAAGACAAAGAGGAAGTACTGCCATGTGGTTACAAGGTCAAGCTCCTAAGGACATTTTTCAACATATGGTCTCTGGGCAAGATGAAAGAGTAGACAGTTGACCTGAGTAACAGAAAAGATAAAAAAGGCAAAGGAGTGAAAGGGAGAAAAGCATTGCCTGCAGCAGGGTGGGGAAGGTGAGGAGCTCCGGTAGGCCTGAGATAGACCCATCCATTGCAGTGACACTGATTCAGAAGTTCAGGCAGCACTTGTCTGTAGTGAAGGGACCTTTTTCAGCAGTCCCATCAGCTCAAGTTTCCCCTTTTAGGAAGGAAAAAAGCTCCCCGTGTCCCATGACTCTACATGTCTAATCCTGTCACTCACAGCCATCAGCAAGAGTGCAGGGCCGAGTAATCTGAAGAGAATAGCAGGTAACATCCTGCAGTGTCAAACCCATTCTTAGTCAAGAGAGACTTTACTGAAGGGGACCTCTAACCCCTTAAGTCTTAGGAACGACTCTGATTTTCCTGAGTTGGTCCTCAAACCCGACTTCAGTGAAGCATCCTTTCCTTTTATTAAGAAGGATCTTTAAAGCCAGTCTGTTTTAGGAGAGACTTTAACTTCCTTTAGTTAGGCCTCTACCCCAATCCTCTTCTTCACCTGGGTTCCCCACCACTTCCAAAAGTTGCCCAGTTGGTGCTGCCGTCTTATTTTTGGGGGGCTGGAGGTCTCAGTATTGTCACTTCAGTGTTTGTGAAGAAGCTGTTACTGGAAAGGGGTCCTGATCCAGACCCCAAAAGAGGGTTCTTGGATATTGTGCAAGAATTCAAAGTGAATCCATAGAGTAAAATGAAAGCAGGTTTCTCAAGGAAGTAAAGAAATAAAGAATGGCTACTCCATAGGCAGAGCAGTCAAAAATGTATTGCATACCTATGCTAGTATTTCTATAGAATATATTTCCAGAAATTGAATTGCTACTCAATTAAGGTGTTTTAACACTTCAGCTTTTAATAATAATGTATTACTTTATGCTCCCACCAATGGTAAAAGAAAGTGCTTGTTACCTTACTTCCTTACCAGTGCATGGATATTATCAGTCTTTTTAATCTTTGTTAATCAAATAACCCTCAGACCTCCCCCTTCCCCAAATATATGTAATTAGGTTGTAGTTTGGATATTTTTCAGTATTAGTTTATTTGCAGTTTGTTTTGTCTTTTTTTGTGAATGTGTTTTTATGTCTTTACCTGTTTTCTTTTATATATCATTCTTTCTTTGATTTGTAAGACCTTTTTCTTTGGACCATCTGTTAAATTGATCCCCATGTAACAAAGAACAATAAGGTATTGAAACTTTTTCACTTTCAGACCAACCAAGAAGGATCACCTCTTTAGCTTTCATAGGTTAAGATTTCTTTTCAGTAATGTAGAATTTAATTTAATACCTCTGTTATCATTTGTTACTTGCATCACACCTAATAATTCAAAGAAGAGTTATATTTATACTCTCTGTGTTTAAGAGGTCTTTTTTTTTTTTTTTTTTTTTTTTAGAAAATATGGTCTCATTCGTAATCTAAGCTAATTCTTTTCTTATGCTTTATTTCCCTTTTTTGGATCAGGATAATGCTGACTACAGATTATTTCAGAAAACACTCAAATTGTGTCGTTTTTTTGCTAACTCCCTTTTGCACTACACTAAGGTAAGGCTTTATTATACGTTACTTTATTTAATTGTAGTCCTCTCAAAAAACAAATTATTATACCCATTCCACAGAATAGAAAGCTCAAGCTCAGATAGCATATAACTTGATCAAATCACATATTTAGAAGCCAGTAAGGCTGGGATTTAAGTACAGGTGTGATTTCTCCATCATATATGGTTAGACTATGTCCTAGAAAGAAAAATAAATAGTTTTCATTGTATTATAAGATACAGGAAAAAGCTGATGGTCAATTGAAAATTTTTTAAAATTTCCTTGATAGAATTGATTTTTTTTTAAAAAGACACATCAGCATAGATAGGGAAAATTTTGCCTCCCTACACACACCAAGCAAATATCAGATGGGTAACTACCCATCAAGTGCCATTGGTACATTTCCCACAATGTGTCTTTGCCACTGGAATACAAACCCTGCAAGCTGCAGGGAATCCAGTGTAAGAAGCAGCCAGCTATCTTAAGTGGCAGCTGCCCAGAAAGACTAATTTGGATGGCAGTGTATCAGTAGCCAGGGTATCCGCTATGGAATTCTGACTAATAAACTCATTATTGGAAACCCTCATCTTTCCTCAAAACAGACGAAGACAAGGTCAAAAATTCAACATGGACAGTAGTTTTCTAAAAACCGCTAACATCTTTTACTAATAATGTTTTGCTTACTGGCTGCTGTAAGTCTTCTCTGCTCATCTTTGCAAATAATCTGGCTTGACAACGCTTCTTTTTTTTTTTTTTTTTTTACCTGAGACAGAGTCTTGCTCTGTCACCCAGGCTGGAGTGCAATGGCCCAATCTCAGCTCACTGCAGTCTCTGCCTCCTGGGTTCAATGATTCTCCTGCCTCAGCTGCCTGAGTAGCTGGAATTACAGATGCCCATGACCACACCTGGCTAATTTTTGTATTTTTAGTAGAGATGGGGTTTCACCATGTTGGTCAGGCTGGTCTCAAACTCCTCATCAGGTGATCTGCCAGCCTTGGCCTCCCAAAGTTCTGGTATTACAAGTGTGAGCCACCGCTACCGGCCAAGTAGTTTTCTGTTTTACAGTTATCACTATTTTGATGACTACCAAATATGCAGGTCTCTAAAATTATGACACAGTTTTTAAAGTTTGTACATTGTGGTTACATAGAACAATGAGTCTTTCAGACTCATCCTCTTTTCATTCTCATGTTAAGAAGTTTTCTTAAATGGGGCACATTCAGGATTTGATTTTATTTTGCATGCCTTTGTGAGATTATATGTACTAAAAAGACACATTGTATGCAAAGAGTGAATAGAGTTGTTTTATTTTAGGAATTTCTTCCTTTCCTCTCTGATTCTTGCTGTACTTTGCACCAGCTTTATCTTCAGATACACAGGTAAGAAGAATGCCATATGATTATTAAGATTTAACAATGCCATCTATACCATGCAGTGTTTAAGTATCTACCATTTTACAATAAACATTAATTTTTCTTCATGTTTTGGTACATTTTTATCTGCTAGCTTGAAATAATTGGAAATAGATGCTTTTGAAGGATATATTCCACGTGAGTTATGGTTGTATTTGTAATTTACTAGTACCTTAGACAGGAGCGATAAATAATGGGGTGATAAAAATCAATGGTAAATATAAATATATACATATATATATATACACACACATATATATACACACACCTTATACATTTATATTTTATATTGGCATTTTAAAATCTGTTTTGATTCTTTGAAGTTTAAGTCACTTAGCCCCCATTTAAATTTAAATTTTGATACTTTAATTCACTTTACAGGATGGTCTTTTTTCTGAAACCATCTCAGAAGAAAAAGTGAATTACAGAAAAGTGTCTATTTAGATGGGGACTAACTGACTTCTGAAATTGGTAGTTACCTCCAAAGAGCCCTAAATTTTACACAAAGTTGAATTCATTTATCTGGCAATCCTGTTGCTGCTCCCTAATTCATTTAGTGACATAGACAACTTTTCCACACCTTTCCCTCCTCAAACTTCCTGTTCCCAATTCCTCATTGTCAATGACCTAATTTCCTGTGTCACTGAGGAAAAATGGAAGCAAGTAAGAGAGAGCTGCTGTGTATTTCCTCTAACATATCTAGTCTGTATATCTAGACCCATATGTTCATTCCCTCGCTCCCAGGAGTGAACTGTGCACCTAAGGCCAGCCTCTCCATTTGCGCATTGGATTTCAGCCTCTCTCACAGGCTCAGTGACCTTGCTTCAGGAATTATTTCCTTTCCCTCTTGCATCATCAATTTTTCCTCCATACTGGGTCACTCTCATGAGTGTACAAATATGCTGTTATTTTTCCCATCTTAACAATACAAAACAAAATCTCTTGACTCTACATCCTCCTACAAGTACCCTCTCCTTTCTCTGCCTTTCTTTACAGCAAAATTTCTAGAAAGACTTGGCTATGCCCCTGTCTGAACTTTTTCTTTTATCTAGTCCAGTCAGGCTTTCTGCATCACCACTTCATCAAAATAGTTCTTGTTAAGGTCATTGGTGACCACTGCATTGTTGTATTCAGTAATCAGTTTTAATCCTTCTGTAACCTGTCAGTAGCACTTGATCCTCTCTTTTGAATGCTTTGTTCTGTTGGTTTCTAGGACATGTCTCCCTGTTGGTTCTCTTCTAGTTTTCCTTCTC